GCTGCCCCCAGAGAGCCGTGCCGTGGGGGAGCTCCCCTGGAACAAAGCGCTTGTATCCCAGGGGCAACTGCATTACCTCCAGCACGGTGATTGCTGTGAGCTACTATCACTAACGAACCTAGTGCAATTAATCAAGGGACCTGGGCCATTTCCACAGTCCCCAGAGATGAGATACTTGTAGGGAGGGCCTTCACCTTGTCAGCACCAGGAGTTACTCAATTCCCCTGAGTTCAAGTCCTGGTGGGGATAAAACAGCTGGTGGCTGGACACAGATCAGCCATGAAAGGATGCCCCAGGCTGCCTCATGGCCCTGATCTTGAGCATCTGTGAGATCAGCCCTGGAAGGAAACCAAGCTGGTGTTAGAGCAAGAGGAGCAGCCTCCTGTCTGCATCCCTGCCCTGCTGGGGGAGTCCAAGTGAGCCCCAAACAGGTGCCCGTGGGCAGAACAGGCCAGACCGGATGCTGAGCAATAGCGTCTGGAGCAGAAGGAAGACATCTGGGCGGCTGGCTCAGGGACAGGCAGCGGAAGTGCCGGGAGCTGAGGAGCCGGCTCCGGCAGGGGGATTTGCTAAGTCCTGCTAGGCTGGGGGCTCTAGACACGTGGCCTCACCCGCACATGCAGCCCTGCACTCTGCCTCTCCAGGGAGGCTGTCGGGGCATCAGCCTTACACACCCGATCCCACGAGGCCCTGCAGACAACTGAGTTCCCTGGAGCCCCTTTGCCTCTACCTGCATGCTCTGGGACCCCGGGGACCCCCAAGCTAGCTCAGGTCCTGGCAGCAGCACGGCAGCCTTAGCTTGACCTCTCCTTCTCTCTCCATACACAGCATGCTGTGTCCTACTCGGCCTCCCTCCTCCCCAGACCTGGCTGCATTTCAGAGGCAAAGGGAGCAGGGGGGAGAGAGGTAGAGCCTGGAGTGGGTTCTGACCCCCCTCACCCCACCCCAGGGGATTCAGACACAGAGGTGGGCTTCAAGTCTCTGGACAAGATCAGCACCAACTCCTTCTGCCTCAGGATCCCATGGGTAAAGATGAACCCTTTCCAACCAAGGTGCCAGATTCCTCCCAGCCCCTAAGCCAGGGGGTCTCAGCCTTCCTGGACTCGTAGACTCGAGACACCCTCAACAGACTCAGGGAAGTCCCCATTGCATTTGTGAATGGAGCAACACCCCAGTCTCAAAACCTAATGTATCTATCACTGGGTTTAGCTACAGGCAGAGGGGCAGGGCCATGGGGTTGGGAGACGGATCAGCCAGGAGCCTGAGCTTGTCTCCTTACTCCTTGTAGCATCCTTCGAAGGGTCTGGCAGCACCCCTGGGGGCTGCGGCACCCCTGGTTGGGAACTGCTGCCCCAGGCTAGGGTGTGAAGACCCCCTGCTGGAGCGGTACCATTGGCAGGGGAGATGTGCACCTTATAGACTGCCCAAAGCAGACAGACAGACAGATACAGCACAAGCTTTAATAGGGTGATGCTCCCTTCATCAGATGCTGGGCAGCGAAGTCAGCTTCAACCCATGAAAGCTTGTGCTATTTGCTATCTATCTATCTCCTCTGGTAAGTCAATAGGTGGCAGGAGAGATCTGCACCTCGCTTGACTATCACAGCAAACTATGTCTCTCCGAGCCCATGGCCCCAGATCCATAGATACCAAGTCTTGCATCTGCTGCACTGGGGCAGCTTGGAGAAACTCCCCAGACCCAGGCAGGGCAGTGCAATGCCCTCCCCTTCCTTCCTCAGCTGTTTGGCTGGTATCATACCCAGAGCCATGCTCAAGCGTGTTTGTGTCTTATACGATATTGCCCTCTCGTGGGTGCTTGGAGCATGGCACAGTTCCCCCTCTCCACCAGCCCATGCACCTGACACAGCGCTGCCCATCAAACACATCCTCCCCTCTTCCAATATTTCCCTGGTCTTCCCTCGCACTTCTCCCTTAGCTGAGTAAGCCAGAGCCACCGAGACAAAAGGACTCCCAGTTCAGAAGAGATACAGCCAGGCTAGGAAACATAGCTCTTTTATTAAATATAAAAGCCAGCAATATGCTGTATGTCACATCAGAGGCAGCTGCCTGCTTCACAGTTTCCGCAACAGAAAAAGCTCCTGCAGGAAGCCACAGCCATGACCCTGGGGATTATTGGAGGACTTGAAAGGGGCATTCAAAAATATATCTCTCTATATATATATCTGTGCATAAAGAATAAGAGTCCCACTGAGGCAACGGTGGAAGTGTTAGAAATCACAGCCTGTGCTGCAAGGCTTGGCTGGCCAGAAGGTGCGAAGAGACAGTGTCCCCAGCCAGCAGTATTTCCACCAGCAAAACCCTTGGTTGATCCGACTGCCGATGGCATCAGTAGTGAGGTAGGGGCTATTTCAGCAGAAGCTGGATGGCTCCTCCGGTTAGAAAATAAACTCCAAGCCCTGGTGCAAGAGCAGAGCAGACCTCCCAGGTCTGCTTTCATAGGAGAATCCCTACCAGCGGGCTCCAAAGCCAGCAAGGCTGGAGAGATGTGGGATACAGGCAGTCTGAAAGCCTCAGAGATGGACTGGGGACCCCACCGCCTTCACCTTGTGGGGCTGGAACTGATCAGATCCACCTCTAAGGTGCACATAAGGTTTAGAGCAACAACGCAGCCTGGGTGCACCAGGTGACAGGGCTCCCCATGTCCAGACTGGTGGCCAACTCCCCTCCTTGCCACCCTCCAGCAGGAACCTCAGGCCAGCTGTTCTTCCAGCCGCATCCCCCCCGAGCCAAGGGATCTTGCTCTCTGGACACAGCTGGCCACTTGAGACTCCAGCTCGCCCCTGCAGAGCTCTGGGAAGCCACCGCAGTGAGCAACCAGAGGACAATAGAATAAGCAAAACCTCTCAGTCATGGAGAAATGTCTGGAGCAGATGGAAATGATTCAGGACCCTGAGTGCCATCTAACTCGGGAGAGAAGTGGGGCAGAGGCAGGTTCTGGACAAGCACGACAGACAGGCTAACAGCTGGGGGCCAGACCTGCGACCGTCGACATCTAGGTGTCAATTCAAGGTGATGCCAACATCTCTAGTCCTCAGAGCAGGTAACAGGTGGGACATCAGCGGAGGCATCTCGTGAACTCACCGGGACCGAGATGCAATGGAGTCGTCCCCTCCAGCTGCTTCAATACTGTTGTGGGTGAAAGCCTTCAGGGCAGGATTATATAAATGGCCAAGCCAAGCCTGGCTTTTTCCTTCAGGCCTGCCCCATGGGACAGACTGATTAACTACCAGAGGCATTTGCTCAGGAGCTCAGGTCTTGACGCCTGTTCTCCATCTGTGGACAAATGCAACGCACCACTGTAGAGAGCAAGGAAAGGGCTGGGATCTCCAGAGCCCCAGTGCCCTGGTCTTCTGATGCTGGGCATGGTTTGGAGACCAGGATGCTTTCAAGAGGTTTCAGTGGGCACATCAGCTATTCACCTCTGCAAATCTTGGGCCTCAAGCTCCTCATGTCCTTTCACTGCATTTCACCAGCCCCTTCTACAGAGACAGAGAGGGGCGCTGGAGAAAGTTTGTGCCACTGCTGGCAGATGGGCTGGATGGAGCGGAGGTCATGGTTAGTCTTAGCTGGAGGGCACCATCGTAACATCCACAGCT